GTGTGTAACATATATCAATATAGACATAGTTATGAATGTGTATATAGATTGCCGTCTAAGATGTATTTCCTACTATAAACTATAGTCAAAGAAGTTGAAATCAATTGGCATAGGGAATCTCTTGACTATGCTCTCTACAAAACCAAATGAACTAGTACCTATATACTCATAACCCATTCAAGTACGATCAAGTGTTTCTCCCATTCTGTGCAGCAACAGCTCAGTGAAGACATGAACAATGTATATTCATGGATGCAGTTTTCTTATTTTCATTAATACAGTGCGGATTTCACAGATTGGTAAATCAGAACTTACTTAAACTTTTCAAGTCAGCATAGGTCCTTATGTCTTAACAATGCTTCTCTCTTAGCTGTGATACCCACTGAGCTAGCAAAAGATGCCAAAGAAGCTAGAGGTCCCTGTGATCCTGACAGACTTACTTACCTTCATCTTATTTGGGCTATTGTCTGAAGAATGCAGAGCTTTTCGAGTATAAATATGACACATAACTTGTATTTCCTGTAGTATTAAACTTCTTAGTAATTTACTCTCCTTAACATACTGCTGTATTCTCTTGACTGCTTCCTACATCTACATCTTTGTTCTTGCTCTTAGAACTCCCCTAAATGAATCTTTTGCACCTGTAAGATCAAACTCCTCTTAAGTCTAACTCCCCTATGAAATTGTAAAGATCCCCCTGTAGACTTTTTCTTCCTTTCTTTTCTTTCTCCTTCTTTCTTTCTTTCTTTCTTTCTTTCTTTCTTTCTTTCTTTCTTTCTTTCTTTCTTTCTTTCTTTCTTCTTTCTTTCTTTCTTTTTTTAAGAGTTCAGCTTTTTATTGAACAGGTTCAGAAGAGGTTTAGTCAGAAAGACCAAAGCCTGAGTCATCATCAGACTCCCTGATTCTTCTTTCTTCGCTTCCATCTCCTACTCATAAGCTTCCTCTGGACGACCAAGCACCTTATTTAACCCAGTCTCCACGTGTCCAAAGAATTGATTTTGTGAACTATTCTTCTTAGTACAAAAATAATTTATCACCATGAGTTTATTACTTATTTTAAACGTAGGAATATTGACACACCTGTTAAATTATAAGCTCCTGGAGTAGATGGTCATTTCTTTTAAGCTTCATTTCAGTTGATCAAAAGATTGGCATGTAACAGGTACTCAATAAATTCTTATTCAATGAATGGATTCATGAAGGACTCAATACACTGTTCTCCTTTGAGAGATAGTTGTTGTTTATCTGTTAATCTCTTATCCTTTCTATTATTTTTGTGGATATGATTCATTATTTAAAAGTTCACAAAATTAGCAATCCATGAAATGGGACCAGTACTTATAAACATGTCTTTCTAGGGGCGCCTGGGTGGTTCTGTTGGACTCTGATTTTGGCTCAGGTCATGATCTCATGGGTCGTGGGATTGAGCTCCAAGTGGAGCTCAGCAAAGAGTCTTCTAGAGATTTCTCCCTCTGTCCCTCTCCCCACTTGCACAAGTGCTCTCTCTCTCTCTCTCAAATAAATAAATAAAGCTTAAAAAAATAAATATGTCTTTCTAGAATTTAAATAAAAACTTGAAAAAAAATTTTTAAAAAGAAAATAAAGCAGAAGGGAAAAGAAGGGAGTCGTTCTCCTTTCCCTCATGTGGGAATGGGCACAGTTTAGAAATAACATGTATAGATTTTCAAGTTTACAGAGAAGTTTCACACTTGATTTTTTTTTAAAGTAGGCTTCCCCCCCAGCATGGAGCCCAAGTCAGGGCTTGAACTCAGGACCCGGAGATCAAGACCTGAGCTGAGATCAAGAGTCAGTCACTTAACCGACTGAGCCACTCAGGTGCCCCCAGAAGTTTCACACTTGAAATCATTTCATAGGGAAATGTGCTTTATTTTATGCTCATTCTTTTCTCTGTGTTTATCTCCACTTCTTACTTCCCACTTCCTCATCATCATATTCTTTCTTTTGGACTTTAGGTGCCCATCGTCTCAAGTCCCTCTCCAGGGGACACTGAGAATGGAATGGAAAGAACCCTGGATTTGGTGCTAGGAAATCTCAGTGTAAATCCTGACTCTGGGCACCAAGCAACTGGCAAGGCTTGGGGAGGCATCCACCTCTCAGAGCTCAGTCTCTTTCCTGTGCAGAATGGACATTCCAAGGGGTCTTGCACAAGGGCCCCAAAGAATGCTCTTTGGGTCATCCCTTCTTCCTTAGTTTCTCCCCTTTTCTTTTGCTCACGTCAGAACATTGTTTATTAGTTTTACTATTTAGATTTAACTTTACTGATATAATAAATCTAATATTAACCACTTCCCTTAACTCATTTGATTGGTAACTGTATCAGGTGAATCATTCCAGTGATGCTGAGTCATTGTAACGAGATTGTTTCTCAATCTCCACTACCTCACAATTTAGATTTTAATTGCTTTAGGTTGGATATAGCAATTATATTTTGACAGGACTGAATAAAAATTCTGTAATGTATAACTGCTGAAGAAATATTCATGATGTTATACTGTTAAAAGTGTACTAGTTGCAAAAAAAAAAAAGAATTTAAAAATAACACCAATGATGCTAACTCTCACAATTGCAAAATCATTTAAAAAGATGAATAAGGGGGAAAAAAGATGAATAAGGGGATTAGTCAGCCCTGTAGTCAGATGACAGACCTTCCTAAGTAAGGCTATATAGAGAACTTCATTCTCTATGTGGAGCTTCTAATTAACTTTCTTTTTTCAAGTTTTTATTTAAATTCCAGATTGTCAACATACAGTGTAATATTAGTTTCAGGAGTAGAATTTAGTGATTCATCACTTACATGTAACATCCAGTGCTCATCATAACAAGTGCCTTCCTCAATATCCATCACCCGTTTAAGCCATCCCTCTACCCACCTCCCCTTCAGCAGCTTCTAGTTTGTTCTCTAGAGTTAAGAGTTTGTTTTATGGTTTGCCTTGCTCTCTTTTTACCCCCATGTTCATCAGTTTTGTTTCTTAAATTCCACCTATGAGTGAAATCATATGGTATTTGTCTTTCTCTGACTTATTTATTTTGCTTAGCATGATACCCTTTAGCTCCATCCATATCTTGGCAAATGGTAAGATTTCATTTTTTTTTTTTATGGCTGAGTAATATTCCATTGTGTGAGTGTGTGTGTGTGTGTGTGTGTGTACCACAAATTCTTTATCCATTTATCAGTCAATGGACATTTGGGCTCTTTCCATAATTGGCTATTGTTGATAATGCTGCTGTAAACATCGGGATGCATGTGTCTCTTCAAATTGGTATTTTTGTATACTTTGGGTAAATAAATAGTAGTGCAATTACTGGATTATAAGGTAGTTCTGTTTTTAACTTCTTGAGGAACCTCCATACTGTTCTTCTAATTAACTTTTGAACTCATAATTCCCTGTGGGTTTGCCACATTTATTGATTCAATCCTTCTCTCAGTGACACATGGATGCCATTCAAAACATATTTTTAAGTAAAACTCTTTTGTCTTTTTTCCAGCTAATAAGTAATCTTTACTACAGAAAGAAGAAAATACAAAGAACAAATAATATATAATTGAGTTACATTCCAGGTGTAAGTTTTTATTACTCAAATAGGCATGCATATACAATATTAAACAATCAATGTCCCAAACTTTCAACTTTGGCGTTCTCTTTCTTAAATCTGCAGGGCTCTTCTTTAAGTATCCAGATTCTTGGAAATGTTGACCCATCTTCTAATATATACTGGAATTTCTTTTAGAATTTTGGATCTAGAAGGGGCGCCTGGGTGGCTCAGTTGGTTAAGTGACTGCCTTCGGCTCAGGTCATGATCCTGGGGTCCTGGGATTGAGCCCCGCATCGGGCTCCCTGCTTGGCAGCGAGCCTGCTTCTTCCTCTGACCCTCCCCCCTCTCATGTGCTCTCTCTCTCTCTCTCTCTCTCATTCTGTCTCAAATAAATAAATAAAATCTTTAAAAAAAAAAGAATTTTGGATCTAGAGATACTTCTTGATTTTTTAAAGAAATGTAAGAGATCTGAAAAGTCTATTAAAATCCCCTTTATGCCATTGAATCTAGAGTCATTTCTTTTGACTTAGATTAAAACTACTGTCCAAGTAGCCAAATAACCAAGCAACTCAACTAGTATCTATAAGTTCCACCTACAAATAATTCTGATTGAGAGTTTGTTTAGTTATGTACATTCAGACACTTACTTGGTTTTTGTATATAAACCAAGCATTTTTATGGACAATACAATTCTTCCTTCTTTATTTTCAGCAACCATTCATTCAAAACTTGTGTAAGCTAGCTTCTGCTATAGTAACAAATAATCCCAATGTCTTTGTGGGTTATAACAACACATGTGCTCAAGTTGATGAGGGTGGTGGTTCTGCCAGATTTAGCTGAGATTGGTAAAGCTAGATCTTGCCCCCATGAAACACATATTTTCATTCCTTGGCCAGGCTGAAGGAGTAAGCCAGTACCTTGGACATGCTATTTTCATTTTGGAGGGAAAAATCGAGACTGGACACCAAGCCATGCAAAATATGCAAGAATATTTAAAACTTCTACTGAGATATTCTCTTAGCCAAAGAAAATAATATGACCTAGGCTAAAGTCCGTGGGCAAGAAAGTAGGCTGTGCTCACAGAGAAGCGTGGTAGGGTATGGAGGGAATGAATATTTGTAAAATAATGCAATCTACCACACCTGCCATTGTTTACAAATGTTCACTTCCTTCCTATGAACAAACATAGTCACCCCATTCTAACAATATTCTAAGGTCTCATTCAATCAAAACATCTAGATTGAAATCCAGCCTCTTAGAATATATATCATGCTCAAACATAGCTCCTCTTGACTTGGTATTTGCACCCCACACAGCCATCATAAAATAGTGGAACCCATAATAAACACTCTTATTTAGAAAGAGGGAGAAAGGGAGAACCCAGCAATCACTGATCCACAGCAATTCTGAAATCCCAATGATGAATTGTTATAAGGTCTACTAACCTGAGTTAGTATAGAAAACTTAATCAATCTTCAGTTTTGTTTCCTGGAGGTAGAGTCATAGTCTATCGTCCTTCCAGGAGGTCCTTCCTTTTCCAATATCCTCTTTGTGAAAAATTGCCCTCTGTGGCTATTGAACAGCTTCCTCAGGCTGCCTATAGAAAGTTGAGGGCTCAAGAATAGTTTTATTGTTCAAACAATCACAACTCCTTTTAATTCAGGCTGGTGGCAGTTCGGTCATTACAACTCTCTCAAAAATATTGTTGGTTTTTTTGATACCTTTGTTTCTTATTAATGCCTCCTGCCAGTAACCAGATCCATAATTATAAGACATTCTTCTAGGCTTAATTATAGATAATTTGAACTCTTTAGACTTTCATTGGGCCAAATCTATGGTATCATTACCCTGAGCCATTTTGTATAAGTGAAATGACTTACCAGGGATCACTTTAAAGGAATCAGAGGTCTGAACAAATAGTATAGTGACAACAGTCTTGATTTGATCTTTGCTCTCAAGTTTGAGTCTTATTAGTAATAAGTGATAGTAGTAATAGTTTTAATTAGGTGAACTTTTACTTAATAGAATGAAAATAGTAGCTCTTCATATTATGAAAGATGATGAAAACATTTTATAGGCACTTTATAATATTAATTTTGCATAACTGCTCATGTCTTCTAATCCTTATAATGGGCTTCTAAAAGAGAATAGATAATATAAATTGCTTTTCTTCCATTTATCCACTTTAAAGTTTATTTGAAATTATCCTTAAAATCGCCTACATATTACAGTATTTTTGTATTCAGAATATGCTCAAGTTGCTAAATTTCTGATATGCTTCAATTCACTAAAAATAATTCAAATTATTCCATGTAAGAAAATGCACACACAACTAGAAAATGACTTTCCATGCCCTTGAGTTGGTCTTTGCACTGAGGTTTGGTCTTAATTAGTAAATAGTTTAATGTCTGGAGATGAAAAACTGTTGCATCTTTTAACACTGTCTCTGGATTTCTGGATTCCCCTTTTCTCTTCCATACTTATTGAAAAAAAAAAAAGGCCAATTATTTTCTCAGCTCACCTCTTTCTTATAATGACCAATAAGCCATTTGGGGCCACTAACATTCTGTCTCAAAAAGTCTTTGCCAAAGTCACAAGTTCATAGGTTATTTTCTACCTTTCAAATTATCTCAGGTGACAGTTTTACCAAAATTTTCACCATTGTATAGAATAGATTGGCATTTTTGCAGCCTCCTTTAACAGTAGGGCTCTCATAGTAGGCATGGTGCAAATACTACATATTTTAGTTTTTTGTTGTTACAGTAGTGCCTTGCTTCCAGGAATCAATTTCTTTATTAATCAACTTTTATTGTGATGACAAGCAATCTTCAAATCTCAGCAATTTACAATAGTCATTTGTCACTCACATTACTGGGCTCTACTGGGCTTTTTTGGCTTTTAATGTGTCTTCTCTCTTTGAACCAAGTCTGAGATAATAAAAAGAAAACCACAGACCCAAAATAGTATCACTTAGGCTGAGTCTCCAAACTGGGCTTAATCCCTAATCTAACTGCAATTTCAATCTCCCCTGCAGAGGTAGTTTTAACCGCCAGTCGGGAATTCTCTGATCGGCACCAATGAAATAATCGGCCAAGTGGGCCCTCTCCATTCTTCAAAGGAAGATGAGGTGATCTGCAGGATAAGACCTTCTGCTCCTGGCCTTGCCTAAAACAATCCTTTTCTTTTGCTAATAACTTTTTTGCCCCACCTTCCTTCCTATAAAAACCTTCCATTTTGTACAATTCCTTGGAGCTCCCCTCTACTTACTACATGGGATGCTGTTTGATTCATGAATCCCTTAACAAAGATCTTCAAATTTACTAGGTTGAATTTTGTTTTTTAACAGAAGAGTAGCCACTATTTCAAAAATGCTTTGCTGACTGTGGAAGGCAGGAAGAGGAGGAGTGTCAAACCATGCAAGTATTTTTAACGCTTCTACCAAGATGTGCTGCATGTCATATCTGCTCACATCCCATTGGCTAAAGCACACCACACAGCCATCAAAGTTAACCAAAATTAATTGGTGAAGGGAGCAAATGCTTACCATAGCACAGAAAAAAAAAAAAATCTATGAACAAAAAGTGAAATATACCACAACAAATATTACTGAAAAGATACTATGACAAATATTTCCTCCCAGCTGCTAAAAGCATGCCGTGAACAAAACAGTGTCTCTGATCTCAGAAAATTCAGTCTAATGGAGAATTCCACTAAGTAAAGAAGCAATTGAAATGTAATGTGAGGAGCATACATGACTGCATGCCACTTAACTCAAAATTAAGACTTTAGGGAAGGCTTCCGGGAGGAAGTAATAATTGAACTGGTACCTGGATGATGAACAGGAGTTAGACTCATGAAAGGAGTCAAGGAGCAGTGGGCTGGGTTCTCAGTGGCTCAGCATGAGCAAGGCCTGAGGGCAAGAGGGAACTTGGGGAACCAAAAATAATTCAGCATGGTGTTATGGCAGAGACAACCCTGCCAGATGCACAAAACAATATTTGAATATTTCATATTCAAGAGATAAGTATTAGGTTTAAAACTGTGGAGTTGCTGGTCCCATAAACAATCGCACCATAATATACTGCTATCCACAAAAACTGAAAAAGAAAAACAAACAAACAAACAAACCTATGCCTTACACAGGTGCAATAGACTAGAGAGCATGGACATTTACATTTACACAGTCAGGGTGAAGGCAGAAGTGGTTTTATTAAACTGCCTTTTGGCCTGGCACTTTTCTCCAGCATACTTTGTGGGAGAAATCCTCAGTATTGAAATTGAGTGAATGCTGTTAATATGGTAATTACTTTGCCATCAAGGGCAACCACTGGCAAGAGAAAAATTGCCTTGAGGTTTATAGTTTATATATCTGATTAGAAAATACAGTTGCTTCTGTCAATTAACTACATTAGCCAGATTTGGGGGGGAAAAAGACAAATTGAAATGGAATTTTACTCTATTACTGTTCAAGGGTGTGGCTTTGAGTTTGTCCTAACCAATGTGAAAGAATATGAAGAACATAGTGGGGGAGGGACGTGCTTGGGTGGCTCAGTCAGTTGAGCTTCCAACTCTTGGTTTCAGCTCAGGTCATGATCTCCGCATTGTAGGATCCAGCCCCGTGTCAGGCTCTGCACTGGACATGGAGCCTGCTTAAGATTCTCTCTCTTCCACCATCTCTGCCCCTTCCCCTGCTCTCAAGCTCTCTCTCTCTCTCTCAAATAAATAAATAAATAAAATCTTAAAAACAAAGCAAAACAAAAGAAATAACAAGTGTTGGCAAAGATGTGGAGAAAAAGAACCCTCTTGAATTGTTGGTGGGAATGCAAACTGGTGTAGCCACTATGGAAAACAGTATGGAGTTTCCTCAAAAAAAAATTAAAAATGGAATTACCATATGACCCCACAATTCCACTCCTGGGAATTTACCCAAAGAATATGAAAACACTAATTCGAAAAGATACATGCACTTCTACGTTTATTGCAGCATTATTTCCAATAACCAAGATATGGAAGCAATCCAAGTGTCCACTGATAGATGAATGGATAAAGCAGATGTATATGCATACAATGGAATACTACTCAGCCATAGAAAAGAACGAAATCTTGCCATTTGCAATCACGGATTGATCTAGAGGATACAATGCTAAGTGAAAAAAGTCAGTCAGAGAAAGACAAATACCATATGATTTCACTCATAGGTGGAACTTAAGAAAAAATAGGACAAAGGAACAAAGAGAAAAAGAGAAAAACAACAGAAAACCCCACCTAATATAGAGAACAAACAGGTGGTTTCCGGGGCAAGGTGAGTGAGGGAACAGGTGAAATAGTGAAAGGGATTAAGAGACCACTTATAGTGATGAGCACTGAGCAATGTATAGAATTGTTGCATCATCATATTGGATACCTGAAACTAATATAACACTGTATGTTAATTATACTTGAAAAAAATAAGATATGGTAAAATATGGCTTTGAAAAGTAGGCCAGGATACAGAATTTTAAAATATTCACCTTTGTTTAAGACACTCCTCACTTCCCTTAAGCACCCATGTTGCCTATCTCTGTAAGGACTAGTCTAAGAAGAGAAGTCATAATCAGTAAAAACAAAAATCCAGAAAGAATCATGGAAGAGATCAGATGTTGATGAAATATTAATGCACTGTATGTGATCTTTTTATGACCAAAAACATTCGTCACACTGTCATCTTAGGCAAAAGTACTGAAAAGGCAAAGTATGCCTTTGCTTTCTTACATTCACCTGTGATCTCATTGTTTTTGCTACAAAATTACCACTTTTTCTCCATCTAATATTAATAGCTACTATTTAGTGGTTGTTTCACCAGGCTCTGGACACTGTGCTAGTCAATGTGTGTACATGACATAACAATAGCATATGAATGCACTTCCCTCACTTGTCAGTGAGGCAACTGAGACACCTCAAACATTAAATAATTCTCTCAAGCACATAAAGCTAGTAAAGTGGTAGAGACGAGACTCAAATCAGATCTTTCTGACTGTAAGAAAATGCATAGTTCTGGGGCGCCTGGGTGGCTCAGTCGGTTGAGCGACTGCCTTCGGCTCAGGTCATGATCCTGGAGTCCCGGGATCGAGTCCCGCATCGGGCTCCCTGCTCGGCGGGGAGTCTGCTTCTCCCTCTGACCCTCCTCCCTCTCATGCTCTCTGTCTCTCATTCTCTCTGTCTCAAATAAATAAATAAAATCTTTAAAAAAAAAAAAAAGAAAGAAAATGCATAGTTCTGACCAGTCCACAACACTGCCATCTGCACTGGACATGTCTCTCACACACTGTAAGGCATGGCTAGACAGAAGCAAGTATTAGCTTAATCTAATGCTAAGGCATAAAGGAGTCTAAGCCCTCCCCGCCCCCAATACCTTCTATCTTTTCATTTTGAAAAATGAACTTGCGCATTCAAATGAATCTCTGATTGGATTGGTTTCAAGTAAGGTGACAGAAGGAAATGAAACATGTTAGACGAATTGAGGACGTATTTGGAAAGAGGAGTAGGGGTCATTCAGTCGCCATTTGAATCATCCCACAGAGTTGGTAGTGTAATCTTCTCTGGCTGATGCTTTCTAATATCCCACACCCACACAAGTCAACCTTGCTCACCTCTTCTCCCAGAAGTGTTTAGCAAAATTTTGACTAAAAAGAAAACATTGAAGAAAATCAGTGAGGTGTATTAATAGCATACATGAATTTAAAGACCCTGATACCAAGGCAAGCTTTCCACTCGTCTTCAT